TTGAGATGGAGTTTCGCTCTTGTCACCCAGGCTGGAGTGCAATGGCGCGATCTCGGCTCACCGCAACCTCCACCTCCTGGGCTCAAGCAATTCTCCTGCCTCAGCCTCCGGAATAGCTGGGATTACAGGCATGCGCTACCATGCCCAGCTAATTTTTTTGTATTTTTAGTAGAGACGGGGTTTCACCACGTTGACCAGGATGGCCTCGATCTCTTGACCTCATGATCCACCCGCCTCAGCCTCCCGAAGTGCTGGGATTACAGGCGTGAGCCACTGCGCCCAGCCGGGAGCTCTTCTTAAGATGATTCGGTGTCCTCTGGGGGCACATCCTTCAATATAAGATAACTCTCAGTGGGCGAATCCGATTCACTCTGCGGAGGTTAACTCGGCAGCCTCCTGGGAGAAAATAAGGCAGCTCTGTACGATGTGGTTTGAGGGGGTGGAGTTGTGGGCCCAGCAGAAGTGCAAGTGATCGCAGTTCATGAGGGAAATTGGAGATGGCTGATGGGCTTGGGGATGGCAGAGTTGAATGGATGGAGTTTCCAGCGTCGGCCAGCCCGGCGCTGGGCAGCTGGGGTGCTCTTTTCTTCTTCGTCTCCCTTCCCTGCCTGCAAGAATGTTCACCCCATTTTGCAGCTGAAAACACTGAGGCTCAGAGAGAGGAAAAATGGCTTTCCCAAGGTGGTCCAGCTCGTAGCAGGGACCAGGCTTTTCCTGCAAGTCTGTATAATTCTCAAGCCCGTAGCAAGGGGCATGTTTAGAGAGAGGTCAGGGGCTCCCAGGGTTGATATGTAGCACTGGTATGAGGGGAGTGTTGGTGACAGGGCCAGTGAGGTGGGTGTGTGGGGTGTCCAGGTGACAAACGGTACAAGATTAAGGCAGGATATAAAGCAAGATATTATTATTATTTATATAATTTTTGGAGGTGGAGTCTCACTCTGTCACCCAGGCTGGAGTGCAGTGGTGCGATCTTGGCTCACTGCAACCTCCACCTCCCAGGCTCAAGTGACTCTCCTGCCTCAGCCTCCCAAGTAGCTGGGACTACAGACGCACGCCACCATGCCTGTCTAATTTTTTGTATTTTAATAGAGACAGGGTTTCACCATGTTGCCCAGGCTGGTCTCAAACTCCTGAGCTCATGGAATCCACCCACCTCAGCCTCCCAAAGTGCGAGAATTACAGAGAGCCATCACGCCCAGCCTATAAAGCAAGATCTTTTTTTTTTTTTTTTTTTTTGAGATGGAGTTTCGCTCTTGTTACCCAGGCTGGAGTGCAATGGCGCGATCTCGGCTCACCGCAATCTCAGCCTCCTGGGCTCAGGCAATTCTCCTGCCTCAACCTCCTGAGTAGCTGGGATTACAGGCACGCGCCACCATGCCCAGCTAATGCTTTTTGTATTTTTAGTAGAGACGGGGTTTCACCATGTTGACCAGGATGGCCTCGATCTCTTGACCTCGTGATCCACCCGCCTCGGCCTCCCAAAGTGCTGGGATTACAGGCTTGAGCCACCGTGCCCGGCCAAAGCAAGATCTTATAAACGATTTTCTTTCCTTCTTCGGAACAGTGGGGAAAGTAGGGGAGCTTCGTAGACTCGTAGGAAATCACAGAAAAGCCTGCTCTGAACGGACATCTGGACGTTGAAAAAGCACATAAAGCCACGTGTTCCTCGCCATGTTTCTGCCTTTCCTGTGGGGTTCTGCTTCCTCAGCTACAGCCTTAGAGATTACTCTGGCCAAGCTGCAGAGTCAGCGTGGAACTTCTTCCCACAGTTCCTATCATTGATTACGGTGCTATGAAGGGGGTGCCCCATTCGCACTTAACAGATGAGGAAACCGAGGCTCCCAAGGTTCAATGGCTTGCCTGAAGTCAGTCAGTCAGTGTTGGCGGACAGGGTATTGGAACCCGTGTCTGCCTGCCCCAGAGCCCAGTGCTCATCTCCACTACAGGAGATTACCTCTTCCTGTGCTGCCAGTTTTTGGAGCAACCGAAATAAGATGAATTTGTTTTGGAGATAGATTTGGAGCAAGTGAAGGCAGAAGGAAAACCTAACTCCATGTCATAACAGATGCCCTTCAGGACTTTTCATGCCTCTGTTGACTGCACGTGTTTGGATCCACTAAATAGCTGGATCAAGTTTTTTTTTTTTTTTTTTTTTTTTTTTTGAGACGGAGTTTCGCTCTTGTTATCCAGGCTGGAGTGCAGCGGTGCGATCTCCGCTCACCGCAACCTCCGCCTCCTGGGTTCAGGCAATTCTCCTGCCTCAGCCTCCTGAGTAGCTGGGATTACAGGCACGCGCCACCATGCCCAGCTAATTTTTTGTATTTTTAGTAGAGACGGGGTTTCACCATGTTGACCAGGGTGGTCTCGATCTCTTGACCTCGTGATCCACCCACCTCGGCCTCCCAAAGTGCTGGGATTACAGGCTTGAGCCACCGCGCCCAGCCTGGATCAAGTTTTTAAAGGTTGCTTGCTCTCTCCTGAGGTGTCAGTGACCTCCAGGGTCTCTCAGAGTCACTCTCATGTTCAGATTTTTTCCAATCTCACTTTCCTCTGTCGTCACCTCTTTCCCTTACAACATGCCCCAAGTTTCAGAAATCAGAGTGATTCTCTTTTGTCATCGGCTGCTGTGTTTTCTCGTACCCCGCCTTGGCTTCTGCTGTTCCTGCTGCTTTGAACGCTCCTTTCCCACCTTAGACACACGCCTCCCGATGCTGGTGGTCTTTCAAGGCGCTACCTCAGCACCCGTCCTCCAGGAGCTCTCTCGGGCCACTCTATACCTCTGTGACCATAGCCTCCTCTGAGCCCTAATCATATTTACCCACCTCTGAGGGCACCGCGCATTCTGAGGGTAGTTATATGTCGGGGAGCCATATCTCCCCCAATAGAACCAGCTCCTTCAGGGTAGAAACTATATCCGATTTCTCTCTCCATCCCCTCCACTGCCTGGTCCATAACATACCTCGATAAATACTAAATGAGTAAGTGATTCCCTTTCTTTCTTCTTGGGGGCCATAGCTAGTGGTCTGTGCTCTGGCCCTGAGCCAAATGACCTTATGCCTATGCTAACCTGACTGCTTAAGGAGCCCCATGCTCTGCCCAGTAGCACCCCCTTTACGCAGAGTTTAAAAGTCAGGCATGCAAAATAGAAACAAAGTAGACCTTCATCAGATGTCCCTCCTCCCCTGACTTCTTGACCCTTCTCCCTCTCATCCTTCCAGCCTGTGGAAGCTCAGAGGCCTCAGCTTACCTGGATGAGCTGCGTTTGGCTGTGGCTTGGAACCGCGTGGACATTGCCCAGAGTGAACTCTTTCGGGGGGACATCCAGTGGCGGGTGAGGGGTCAGGGCCTGAGGGTTGGGCATCCTGACAAAGGGACTGTGCTCTCCTCCCTCCCTGTCTTCTTGGGCACCTCTCCACCCTGCCTTCCATTATGGCCTGTCTAGCCTTCCCTTAATTGTCCATTGATCTCTGATTGTCCATATGGCCTCTCCTGTTTTCTCTCTCCCCATCTGTCCATCTGTCTGTCCATCTATCTATTTATCCACTCCATACATCCATCTATCCATCATATTTTCATTCATCCATCTCTTCATCCATCCACCCATCCATTTGTCCATCCATTCATCCATCCATCCATCCATCCATCCATCCGTCTATCCATCCGTCCATCCATCCATCCATCTATCCTCCATCCATCTGTCCATCCATCCATCTGTCTGTTCATCCATCCGTCCATCCATCCATCCATCTGTCCATCCATCCATCTGTCCATCCATCCATCCATCCGTCTGTCCATCCGTCCATCCATCTGTCCATCCATCCGTCCATCCGTCCATCCGTCCATCTATCCATCCGTCCATCCATCCATCCATCTATCCTCCATCCATCTGTCCATCCATCCATCCATCCATCCGTCTGTCCATCCGTCCATCCATCTGTCCATCCATCCATCCATCATCCATCTGTCCATCCATCCATCCATCCATCCATTCATCTATCCATCCATCCATCCATATTTCCTTCCATCCATCCATCCATCCATCATCCATCTGTCCATCCATCCATCCATCCATCCATTCATCTATCCATCCATATTTCCTTCCATCCACCCACCTATCCATCCATCCATTCATTCATCCACCCATCCATCTGTTCCTTATACCCTTGTATCCCTGTCTCTTGTCCTTAACTTTTGAGCTAATCTCTTCCCCCATTCATCCCACCAGTCCTTCCATCTCGAGGCCTCCCTCATGGACGCCCTGCTGAATGACCGGCCCGAGTTCGTGCGCTTGCTCATCTCCCACGGCCTCAGCCTGGGCCACTTCCTGACCCCGACGCGCCTGGCCCAACTCTATAGTGCGGTGCCCCCCAACTCGCTCATCCACAGCCTTTTGGACCAGGCGTCCCACGGTGCAGGCACCAAAGCCCCAGCCCTAAAAGGGGAAGCTGCGGAGCTCCAGCTCCCTGATGTGGGACATGTGCTGAGGATACTTCTGGGGAAGATGTGTGCACCGAGCTACCCCACCGGGGGCACCTCGGAACCTCACCCAGGCCAGGGCTTCGAGGAGAGTGTAAGGACTGCGCAAAGCTGGAGTGGGGACCCCCGGAGGGACTTGGAGCAGGACTACGTCAGGGACGGGGCATGGCCAGAGCAGGGGGTGTGGCCAACCAGGGGCAGAGGTGGCAGTGGCCAGTGTTGGGGAGTGGCTAGTCCTCACCACGCCTCCTTTTGCTGGCAGATGTGTCTACTCCTGGACAAGGCCCCCTCAAGGCCCTCGTTGGACGCTGGCCTTGGGCAGGCCCCCTGGAGTGACCTGCTCCTTTGGGCTCTGCTGCTGAACAGGGCACAGATGGCCATGTACTTCTGGGAGAAGGTGAGTGGTGACTTAGTGCTCCTGCATCCCTGTCCTTTAGCCCACTGGATGCCAGTGTTCACCATGCAATTCCCAGACCCCTGACATCACCTGACAGCTGCCCCATCTTCCACCCCTGATATATGCCTCCAACTGCTTCCTTTTTCTTTCTTTTTTTTGAAACGGAGTCTCACTTACTATCATCCAATCCAGGCTGGAGTGCAGTGGCACAGTCTCGGCTCACCGCAACCTCCACCTCCCGGGTTCGAACGATTCTCTTGCCTCAGCCTCCTGAGTAGCTGGGATTACAGGCGCATGCCTCCATGCCCAGCTAATTTTTGTATTTTTAGTAGAGATGGGGTTTTACCGTGTTGGCCAGGCTGGTCTTGAACTCCTGACCTTGTGATCTGCCCGCCTTGGCCTCCCAAAGTGCTGGGATTATAGGTGTGAGTCACCACTCCCGGCCTGCTTCCTCTTTGTTTTCTCTCTCTCATATCATGCATTATTTTTTATTTTTATTTTTATTTATTTATTTATTTATTTTTTGAGACGGAGTTTCGCTCTTGTTACCCAGGCTGGAGTGCAATGGCGCGATCTCGGCTCACCGCAACCTCCGCCTCCTGGGTTCAGGCAATTCTCCTGCCTCAGCCTCCTGAGTAGCTGGGATTACAGGCACGCACCACCATGCCCAGCTAATTTTTTTTTGTATTTTTAGTAGAGACGGGGTTTCACCATGTTGACCAGGATGGTCTCGATCTCTTGACCTCGCGATCCACGCACCTCGGCCTCCCAAAGTGCTGGGATTACAGGCTTGAGCCACCGCGCCTGGCCTATTTTTATTTTTTATTTATTTTTTGAGATGGACTCTCACTCTGTCGCTCGGCTGGAGTGCACTGGCATGGTCTTGCCTCACTGCAACCTCCACCTCCCGGGTTCAAGTGATTCTCCTGCCTCAGCCTTCTGAGTAGCTGGGATTACTGGCGTTTGCCACCACTCCCGGCTAATTTTTGTATTTTTAGTAGAGACGGGCTTTCACCATGTTGGTCAGGCTGGTTTTGAACTCCTGAACTCATTATCTGTCTGCCTCAGCCTCCCAAAGTGCTGGGATTACAGGCATGAGCCACTGGGCGCGGCCCACCGTGGCTACATATAGAAGCAGTTTTTCTTTTTTTTTTTTTTTTTTTGAGATGGAGTTTCGTTCTTGTTCCCCAGGCTGGAGTGCAATGGCATGATCTCGGCTCACTGCAACCTCTGCCTCCTGGGTTTAAAAGATTCTCCTACCTTAGCCTCCTGAGTAGCTGGAATTATAGGCCTCCACCACCACACCTGGCTAATTTTTTGTATTTTTAGTAGAAATGGGGTTTCATCATGTTGGCCAGGCTGGTCTCGAACTCCTGACCTCAGGTGATCCACCTGCTTTGACCTCCCAGAGTGCTGGGATTACAGGCATGAGCCACCGCGCCTGGCCTCATTAAGCATTTTCTTGTTTTTTGTAAGTTTTGGATTAGCTTCCAAAATTCTAGAAAAGTTGATTCTGGCAGTTTTTGATGGCTATTGATTGCTTTTGTGGAAGGATGAAGTTTTGAAGTCTCCTACACTGCCAATTTTGGTCACCTCTCCAGGTGCTTTCAAAAACTGTAATTGTTAGAGACAGGGTCTTCCTCAGTCATCCAGGCTGGAGTGCAGTGGCACAATCATGGCTCATTGCAGCCTCAACTTCCTGGGTTCATTCTATCTTCCCGCTTCAGCTTCCCTAGTAGCTTGGACTACAGGAGCAGACCACCATGCCTGGCTAACTAAAAAAAAAAAAAATTCTTTTTTTTTGTAGCGATGGAGTCTCGCTGTGTTGCCTAGGCTGGTCTTGAATTCCTGGGCTCAAGCAATTCTGCGTTTGTAATTGTCCAGTGGGCTCACCTTGCCCGCTGCCTAGACAGAGCTGATTTATCAAAACAGGGAAATTGCGATGGAGAAAGAGTAATTCATGTGGAGTTGGCTGTACAGGAGACTGGAGTTTTATTATTACTCAAATTAGTCTACCTGAGCATTCAGGGATCAGAGCGTTTAAAGCTAATTTGGTGGGTAGTGGCCTGGGAAGTGGGGAGTACCGATTGGTCAGGTTGGAGATGGACTCACAGGGGGTCTCACTGTCGTCTGTTCCTGGACAGGATGTAGAACTAGCTGGGCCAGATTACCTGTCTGGGTGGTGCCAGCCGATCCATCGAATACTGGGTTTGCAAAATATCTCAAGCACTCATCTGGGGTTTTACAGTAGTGATGTTACCCCGGGAGCAATCTGGGAGGTTCACACTCTTGGAGCCAGAGGCTGCATGACCCCTAAACTGTAATTTCTAGTCTTATAGCTAATTTATTAGTCCTGCAAAGGCAGACTGGTCCCCAGGCAAGAAGGGGTTTTTTTTGGGAAAGAGCTGTTATCAATCTGTTTCAGAGTCAAACCAGGAATGGAATTCCTTCTCAAAGTTAGTTCAGCCTATGCCTAGGAATGAGCAAGGGCAGCTTAAGGGTTGGAAGCAAGATGGAGTCGGTTAGGTCTGATTTCTTCCCTTGTCATAATTTCCTCCGTTATAATTTTTGCAAAGGTGGTTTCACCATAGCCTCCCAATGTGCTGGGATTACAGTCATGAACCATTTTACCCAGCCTCCAACTGGGTCTTGACCTGTCTGTGGCTGCAGAATTTATTCTTCCTCCAGCCCAGCCCAGCCCAGCCCCTCACTTGTATCCCTGGTCTCTGAGCCACCTGACTTCCGATATTTTCAACTGACATTCAGTTTCTTCCAGATCCGTCTCCACACATGACTTCATCTTTGGCCTCTGATGACTCCAGTTAGCTTCTGACCTCTGGCTCTGTCCTTTCCCTTGACCTCAGGCTTTCTCCCCCTCTGTGACCCCTCTCTGACCCATCCATGCCCTCTTTGTCTCTCCAGGGCTCCAATGCAGTTTCCTCAGCTCTTGGGGCCTGTTTGCTGCTCCGGGTGATGGCACGCCTGGAGCCTGATGCTGAGGAGGCAGCACGGAGGAAAGATCTGGCAACCAAGTTTGAGGGGATGGGTGTTGGTGCGTGGGGCATGGTGCCTGGGAGCAGGGATGGCGGCTACCACTGGAGGGGGCATCTCCCGACTCCTCACATATCCCTGTACCATCCCCTTAAATTCCCTTTCCTCTCCCTTTACATCCTCACCCTACTCCTTCCCAACCCTGTCACATAACTAACTCCTCTACCCCTAGACCTCTATGGTGAGTGCTATCGCAGCAGTGAGGTAAGGGCTGCCCGCCTCCTCCTCCGTCGCTGCCGGCTCTGGGGTAATGCCACTTGCCTCCAGCTGGCCATGCAAGCTGATGCCCGTGCCTTCCTCGCCCAGGATGGAGTACAGGTGAGAATCTGCAACACCAACATCCCAAACAGCCTCCAAGCCGACTCTGGAAAGTATGGGGACGAGCCCCTGCCATTGGGAACAGCCATGGTCTGGACCATCCCCTCTCCCTGGAGACTACCCAGAAAGTCTCTCTTCTCTCAGAAAGGCTGCTCTTCCCATAAGAAGCCTCACTCCTTTCCACCAAAAGCCAACCTTCCCATGGCAAAGCCCATCTTCCTAAAAAGTTCCACTCCAGATAGAGAAACTCTTGGTGACCCTATCAGGAAGTTCTACCTTTAACCTAGGAAGTCCTTCCTGCTTCCACAGAAGAGCCCATTTCTTTCAAAAGAAGTCCTAGCTCATCCACAGGAAGTCCTGCCTCATCCATAGGAAGTCCCGCCTCCTCCACAGGAAGTATTTTCTACTTCCTTTAGAGGTCCCTAGTTCCAGTTCTCAGCAATTAGAATGATCTTACTGGACAATCACATATATATATATATATATATATATATATA